TATTATTATTATTATTATTATTATTATTATTATTATTATTATTATTATTATTGCTATTTAATCTAAGTTAACATTGATGCAGTTTTGTTTGTAAATAAGCTCCAGTAAACTTAGTAGGATTTCACTTTCCTGAAAACTTGAACAGAACAGTGATGTAAATAATCTTTGACTCTTCTTAATGTATAGGCATCTTCCATAATAAATACATATTATATATCAAGTAATTTACATCTTTTTAACTGGAATGACTTAGATGCTAACTTTTTAAAATTCATATAGCTATGTTTGTACTTTGTTAAGTAAATGAATTCTTTTTGTAGCAAAACTTGTGCAGCTGGAATATGAAATATAAGAAAAGCAATTTAGAATTTAGTAATATTTTATTTGGTATGTGCTTGTGTTTAAGCACTGTGAACAACTGTTTTTCTCCATAGCAATAACCTTGTGAGGTAGATTCAAAGTGTTTGATCCATTATTATGGCCTTGTTTGATATCTTCAAATAGGTTCTGGATTGATTATTATCTTTAAACAATTCTTTGCAATAATTCAATAGACTTTCTGTAATTCTAAGTTATGTGCCATCATCTGGGACACAAAATGGAAATGGATTTTATCTTTGTTAATTTGCATTTGCCATTGACACTCTATCATAGCTTGAGATGCAGGATACAGCCAAATTATCAAAGGTCTTTTAATTCAGTTTATTCTTTTATTTTGGTCACAGACCAGAATAAAAATTAAAACATTAAAATAAAATAGAACAGAAAAAGACATAATAATGTATTACTTCATCCTTTTTGGCTAGCATCGATTATTAAATGGGTTGCTACTTTTCAGAGTCAAATAATGATTGGAGAATAATAAGGATCAAACAGGATAGTTTGCCTGCAACATTTGGATTTATGAATGGAAGAACACTAAGATAGCTTGGCACTGGGTGCAGGGGAATGAATGAGACTCTCTCTAACTAAATACCATTCAAGATTGGCTTTCTCATGTGCAGCAAGCCCAGAGGAGTTAGAATTCCTACATGCCAAAAGATTACATTCAGAAGAGAGAACCTCTGCCACTGATTTGATCAGTGATGATCAAATTTTGATTTTCAATCGTAGACTTATTTGGCAATGTATGATAATTTGAACAACTTATCTTTTTCTGCTTGTAATTTGTTATCAGATAACATTGGGATACTTTTTCTCAACATTACTGTGGGAAGTCAGAGCCCCAGAGAAGGAAATATTAA